GCTTACTTCTCTGATTACCTACAGTTGTGTTCAAAATTATTCAGCCCCCAATGCTGTAAAGGGGTTTAGGGACTATAGTGTACATTTGGAATTGTATTCAGAATGAAATCCTACAAGGACGTTTTAAAGAACCAAATGCAACTAAAATAACATCAATTGTTTATGTAATACAGTAGTAAATGTTTCTTTTGTGGTTTCTTCATTGCCACAATTATTCAACCCCTTAAAGACTACCACTCTGAAGAAGAGAGGTTCATTCAGGTGTTTTCGAACAGGTATTGAAAACACCTGTGGATGTCACCGAGCACCAATCAAGCATAATAAGCACCAATTAGGCAGCTTTAAAAGGACTGTGATACTCAGCTCCTTCTAGACATTTACTGGTGTGGTTACAAACATGGTGAAGTCAAGAGAATGGTCCAGGAAGACAAGAGAAGAGGTGATTTGTCTTCACAGGAAGGGCAATGGCTATAAGAAGATTGCAAAGAAGTTAAACATACCAAGAGACACCATAGGAAGCATCATTCGCAAATTCAAGGCAAAGGGCACTGTTGAAATGCTACCTGGTCGTGGAAGAAAGAAGATGCTGACTTCGACTGCTGTGCGCTACCTGAAGCGTAGAGTGGTGAAAAGTCCCCGTGTGACTGCTGAGGAACTGAAAAAAGATTTGTCAGATGTGGGTATAGAAGTTTCAGCTCAGACAATAAGGCGCACACTGCGTAATGAAGGTCTCCATGCCAGAACCCCCAGGCGCACCCCCTTGCTGTCTCCCAAGAATAAGAAGAGTCGACTGCAGTATGCCAAAAGTCATGTGGGCAAACCACAAAAGTTGTGGGATAGTGTTCTGTGGACTGATGAAACAAAATTAGAACTGTTTGGGCCCATGGATCAACGCTATGTTTGGAGGAGGAAGAACAAGGCATATGACGAAAAGAACACCTTGCCTACTGTGAAGCATGGCGGAGGGTCAATAATGCTTTGGGGCTGTTTTGCTTCTGCAGGTACAGGGAAGCTTCAGCGTGTACAAGGTACCATGAATTCTCTTCAGTACCAGGAGATATTGGATGAAAATGTGATGCAGTCCGTCACACACCTGAGGCTTGGGAGACGTTGGACCTTTCAACAGGACAATGATCCCAAGCATACCTCCAAGTCCACTAGAGCATGGTTGCAGAGGAAAGGCTGGAACATTTTGGAGTGGCCATCGCAGTCACCAGACTTAAATCCGATTGAGAACCTCTGGTGGGACTTAAAGAAAGCAGTTGCAGTGCGCAAGCCTAAGAATTTGACTGAACTGGAGGCTTTTGCCCATGAAGAATGGGCGAAGATACCCGTAGATCGCTGCAAGACACTTGTGTCATGCTATGCTTCACGTTTAAAAGCTGTTATAACTGTAAAAGGATGTTGTACTAAGTACTAAGATTGAATGTCACTTGGGGGTTGAATAAAAACTAATAATGATGTGAGCACAGAAAAGACATTTGTGGTTATTTCATTATAAACTTAAGGTTATATTTCTCTGACCTACAAGTGCCTCTTTCATGTAAATGTAAGCAAGATGACTGAATGATCAAAATCAATGTCAAAATGGCCAAAACATTCAATTTCAGTGGGGGCTGAATAATTTTGAACACAACTGTAGATGGGAACTAAAATACAAATCTGGGTATCGAGAAGCATTTTTCAGGGGCCAATCTGGGTTTTCAATTGCATTAGCCAACCTGTTTTCCAAATGACAGTTAACCCTCATTTGGCAGCCAAAGGAAACCCTAACAGCCAAAACATAAATCTAGTAACATTGCTAAAAATGCCAGCAGCAGAGTAACCCCTTCTTCTTGCGTTTCATTCACATAATGAAGCTGTTATGAATAGTGCTGTAAGTATGAATGTTTTCAAAGCAAGAGGTACCGTGGGCAAACTTCATACATCTATAATTAATGGCCTTAGATTTGATCGTCTGTTTCAGAGAAGCAAGGGAACTTCAGTTTCCCCGCTGATGAGTTGAAATGTAGAATTATTTGCGCTGTCCTGAAACAGAGCTCTCACATAAACTACTTTTAGGCCTTTATCCCCAGATTATACTTACCTGTGCAGAATTTCTCACAGCTGCATGCAAGATATGTAAAGATTTAATGGATAATTATTTTAAGCTATAACTTTCCTTTAACTCCCCCCCCCCCATTTTAGCACTGTGACTGCTTTATAAATGTAATATGTTTTTTTGTTTGTTTGTTTGTTTGTTTTGCTGGTCACAGACTGTAACAATAAATGAACTGAACTGAAGTATTTCACAATAGCTGCCACTATGCTTTTTATGGTAAAGAATGAGTTCATGTTTGAGAATATTCTTAATAGATCAGTAGTTTGAAGCCCACATGCACAACAGATGTGTCAGTTTACCGCTGCAAATGCTTGAGACTTGACTTAACAAATGACTTCTTTTTCAAGCTGTTTTCTGGGAACGATGTAATGAACTTCAGGATATAGAAAAGATCATGGCACAGATTGAGAGAGGTGAAGCTCGAATTCAAAGGAGGATTAGTATCAAAAAAGCACTTGACACAAAGGTAAGTGAGTTTTTTAATTGTTAGAGGAAACTCTACTATTAGAAATAACTAGCACTTTGCTACAGTAATAATTGTATTGTACCAGGTAACTTTGTGGATATCATTCAGATGTTGTCTTTCTGATTTTTTTTTAACTGATGTAATAATTTTGGTGAAATTGTAAATTGTTAGTCCATTTTAAGAAGATGAAGCTATCCCTTTCAAAAATGTAGTTTGACTTCTCCAGGCTGATTGGCTGCAAGAGATGATTTTCAGAATTTTCAGAAGAGTTTAATAAAATATTAAGAAAAACCAAGCTAAGGTTCTTTACGCTCTATTGAATTGTTGTGTTTCTAGTTCTGCAGCTTAAATTCTAAATTTGTTTAGATTGGCAGATACAAAGCACCTTTTCATCAGCTGAGAATATCTTATGGTACTAACAAAGGGAAGAATTACACAGAAGAAGAAGATCGCTTTTTGATCTGTATGCTTCACAAGCTGGGATTTGACAAAGAAAATGTTTATGATGAATTGAGACAGTGTATTCGCAACTCTCCCCAATTCAGATTTGACTGGTTCCTCAAGTCTAGAACTGCAATGGTATGTTTTCGTTTGTGTCCATAGGATACATATTTTAAAGAGTAGTCCTTTGATAAGCCTGTTAACTAGCATTTACACTTACGTCTTTTGGTGAGCAAGATCTGTGGCACATCAAGCTTTAAAAAGAGCATTTGCAGCAGTAGTCCAAAACTTGTCTTCTGAGATACATTCTAGTAGAGGAGTGTATCTTCCCATTGAAAATTATATTGCAGTCAATAGCCATAGGAGCTAGAATGTTGCCTCCTCCTGTGTTTATTTTATTTATTCCTGTTACAGGCAAGGTTAACAGCCAGGTCTTCGCCAAACTCAAATGTAAAAATGTTCAAGCTTTCTAATCAAGGAAAATGTATCCTATAGCAAATTTTAGGTTTGAGCTTTGCATATGCAATTGTCTAATGCTTAGTTCTAGTCTGACTCTTTGAATGCCATTGTTTCATACAATGTTGATCCAGAAGGATCAACATTGTTACTGCTTAGAGAATCATGGCCTTCTTCCTAGTTCTGTCATTCCTTCTTATCCTTATAAAATGGTGTTTCTTTATTATTACTGTGTGTGATGGGTATCATTTGCGAAAAATAACTTTCATCCCTATAACTCATTCTTCAGAAATGTCATGCTGTCCAGCTCTTCGTGCTGAAACCTAACTTAGCAGCCCACAGCTCAGTTCTAGCACAATCTATACTAAGTACGAGGGGCTCTTCCACCTTTTCTTTGTAGAATGTTGCCTTGTTCAGGCTGCTGTCTAGTTCTGGCTACAGTGCAGTGGAAGTCACTGAATGGATGACTTCCAAGAAAAGAGTTACAGAAAATCACAACTGTCCGCTTTCCCTCATCAATGAGGATACTTTGATTTTGTAGCCTCTCTGGCTTCATCTCCATTGTGGAAGGAAGTGGTTCTAACTAGGAATAGGACAGAGAAAATTGTTCGATGGCCACTGGATATGTTTTCTATCTTCATGCTTCAGGAGCTGCAGAGAAGATGCAATACTTTAATAACTTTGATTGAAAGGGAAAATATGGAGTTAGAAGAAAAGGAAAAGGCAGAGAAGAAAAAACGTGGACCAAAACCATCTTTGGTAAGCTTTAGAATGTGTTCCAGCTGCTTGGTGTGAAAATAAGCTGCTAGTTTCTGCAAATAACTTGAAATCAAAATCCTTCCTGCCCGCCTCCCCAACGTCTGAGTTCCTAATGGAACTTAATGTTTACCCCTGAGGTAGTATTTGTACAACATTGACTCTGCTTAGAAGTATGAGATTTAATGTGCAATAGCTCCATTTTTAATGGCTAGTGTTAACTGGCATAATTTTAAAGGCCCATTTAGTGCTTTAAAAACTCCCCTCAAATTCAAAAGCACTGTGCAGTAGTGGCTTCTCTTTGATTACCAAAATTTTAAAACCTTGGTTTCTTTTCAGGGTAGTTGTGGCTCACTGAATCATGGCCAATTTTCTTCTCTTTCTTTCCTCCTGCACAGGCACAGAAACGCAAATTGGATGGCACTCCTGATGGTAGAGGACGAAAAAAGAAATTAAAGCTGTGAATACTGAATCCTTGTAATCACTAAATTGAAAGTAGTTCTTTAATTTTACGGGTCTTCATAAGATGTACTGTACAATTCTCAACTATTATGTCATTAAAGGACATCAGGTTCATGCGTTTACTTACTGAACTAGAAAAATAGTAATGTAGTTTCACTTTTTTAAATAAAACAGCTGTGCTGAACTTTTTTTTACCATTAACACTTGAAATAAAAAATAGGATTCATGTACCTGTTGTTAATCCTTTTATGTAGTGTCTCAATGTTTGTCTTTCAATAATAATTGAATGTTGCAAGTCAAGATATATTTACCATGTAAATCTTTGGACCATTCACACTGTGGCCTAGAGTATAAGTCTTACACAGAGCGACATGATGGGGTATCCCTGGCTAGCTCAAACACACCGTGAAACGAAGTGTCTATATCTGTATAGGTATCATTATTCAGTTAAATGAGAGAAGCTAAGAAATATGCTTAAGAAATGAAGCCAGCTTGAGAAAGTGTAATGCCTTATATTTGAAATATAAAAATAGGCTACAGACACAGGTATGAAAGAAAACACTTTTATAAAACAATTATCTGAAAACATTTTGGCAATTCCACAATAAAAGTATACAGTTACGATTATAGACTGATTAATATTATACAGTACAGGTCAGCAATCAAGGGTTTCAGTGCTTTACATAATGCTTGACTAAACCTGCTTCATTTACATCTTGAAACAAGTAGCGTAACAATATTGTAGACATATTACACCATTGTAATGTATATTTTTCTTCCCTCCAATTACATAAACCTCAGGAAACAGCTGTTCAGTAAAGCCAGAACCATATACTACAACAAGGTGATGAAGGAATGCTTGCATTTTAGTCCCTTTGCATCTCCTAAGCTTACAGAGAAGGAAGCAGACTCCAACTGCTGTACACTGAGTGGATTGGTGGAGTTTCCTGGATGATCAAGTTTGTGTTCTAAGACACCTTGGAGGGAACAAGAGTCCCACTGCAATCAAAAGGAACAGCAGCTGCTTACTTGATTTAAAATGCACAGTGTAGTCCTGTATGCATTTATTAGTGGTTATAATAAGTTTAACAGCACTTAAAGATAAGAAGTCTATCTGAAGATTCTCAGATAAGAAGGTGTGGCACTGCAGCCTGAAACAGCTAGCAGTTGCTCTTGGAGGTATAAGCAGGTGCAAAAATGTGTTGGAATACCATTTGCAAACGTAAGAGTATGAAGGGCTCTGTGATCTCTGGCTTGCAGTTATGGAAGCTGGCAATCTTTCTGTTGAAAGCAGCGAGGATTTCTATTTGCATGGTGGGTTAGTGGATTTTCCCAAGAGCAAGCAGTATTGAAAGAGCCTGCTTGTGGTTCATAAGCAACAGGGGACTGGAGACAATTATAAATAAGGGAAGTAGCAATGACTCTTCTGGGCAGGCAAAGCAAGGGAAAGCATTTCTTAAAGCCCCTCTGCTACAGTCACACTTTTCCTTCCTGTTGCTGAAATACATGCTCCTTCCTCTAATAAGACAGGCTGAAAGGAAATACACACGTGCACCTTATTTAGAGGGGGCAGTAATGTGAACCAGTCCAACACAACATGGCTCTTGGAGGTAGGCAGATTGTTGAGTAACGTGCCCCATACTGGAAAATTGGATTCATGAAGGCGCACAGCTAATATGCTATTGTAAAAATATATATATATAATTGAAGCATGTGGATCAATGATGGGACAATGATAGTATTCCTTCCACACACACCCCATTACAGTGATTTTAACAGAAGCACCAAATTTGAGCCGATTATTAAAATTAAAAGGAAGCCAAGCTTGCAGATAGCTAGTTGTTCATAATAAGTAATTGCCCCCAGCTAGAGGAATTCTCTAACCTGCAGAGCCCTCCCTCCCCAAACTAATTTTGTACAAATTACTAAGGAATCTAAGGCAGCTGCATGCCATAATGAAATAGTTGTTGGCTTCCAACTCTACTATGCTGTCTCTTCCTTTTTCTGGCCAGCAGAAGGCAGATCTGAGAAAGTACTTAACCTTCCCTTCGCCATTTAAAAATATTTACAGTGTTTAAGGTTTTTACCACTGAAGATCCAGATTTTAAGTCAGCTAAGCTGCATATATTTGCATACACAAAACTGCTAACTATGCAGTAATGCAGACATGTTTCTCTATTCAACATAGAGAGGATTCCTTTCTAAATGAGAAAAAATGTTGCATTATTAATAACTTAAAATTTAAATCATTAAAATGTCTGATTAATATCAGGTCTAGCTAATCAAGATATTTCTTGTGCATAGAGCTCATCTGAAGCCACAACATATCCCAGACTCCTAGGCAAACATGCATGAACTGGAAAATTTGTAAAACTTCTTGACTGCATTTCAATAATTTGTTCTGCAAATTTTCAGTCTTTGAAATAAAGTCTTAAAAAACAAAGAGTAGCATTTAACATTCCTTCAGAAGGGTGAGTGCTTTTCCACATTAACAAACAGAAGATGAATTTATCAAGAAAATGGGCTAAGCCCTTAAACACATGGTGCTGCTGCACAATAAACAGAATGAGTGAGGAAGCTAAGCTGCACAAGGATTCCTCTTCAGTGACTGAACATTAGAAGAGAACCATTACCAAGTAACCTGTTCATCCAGTATTTGATAACAATTCTAAGTCCCTTCGTTGCAACAATTGTATTTGATTACCTAGAATTCTGTATGACTGCAACCTTCAGAACACTGCCAAAGAGCCCGAAAAACCCACAACAACCATGAATAAGAATTATTTGTGCGGATTGAATTTGACAACAAATTACAGGAAATCAAATCAATACCTTTATTCACACTATCTTACAGTAGTTGTCAAGTTCCCTTTAAATGGAACTATTTGAAACAAAATAAAGATTTTACTAACTGCAGGCAGTCCAGAAAGAAGGGCCATCTAATAATGATTTCAATTTCTCTTCAGACATACGATACAATACTAAGGATTATCATGGAAGTCATGATATATGTCAACTTTGGGACTTTGTATTAAGATGTATTCACAATAACTTTAGGTTAAAACACTCAAGAAATAATCATTAAATAAGCTTAGCATTTTTCCAGGGCAGTTATCTCTGTCATCCACACAGACAATACAAATTCTACACAAAGATATGATTTCATTTATTTTGCTTCTACTCAATCTAGTTAAAAGTCTTCTCTCAGTTCTCTCCACCCTCTTTCCTTATACAAGGGTATACCTCTAGACACTATGACCAGTTAAACGAAAAGAATTCCAATTACGATCCCTTTGAAGAGCACCAGGCTTTTGTGATGGTAGGTAAGGCACACGTATAGCTGCTAATTTGTGGGGGTTTTTTTAGCACCATTTATTTTAAAAATAACACTAGGTTTTCGTTTATTCCATGAGCAGGAAGAAGTTATAAATAAGTCACTCACACTTCTATACATTTCACCTTACTTGCTTTTTCTTTTCATATGCTGGAACTAGACACAACCTAGCAACAAAATTTCAGCAGCCAGTTATAACTGTGCAAATACAGCTCCCTAAATACTGGTTTCAATGATGAAACAAAGTATCTTCAAAGGATAACCCTCACCTTTGCAATGTAATTAGACTTCAGAGCTGTCACTGTTGCTGCGTTGTGTAGTCACCGTTTCATTGCTGTTGGAATAGTTGATGCATGTGTTTGTCTTCCCATCAGCGGAACGCCGTCTTCGCTTCAGAAGGAAGACAATAATCAAAACAGTGCAGCACAGAAGTAGGAGCCCTGCTCCTCCTCCAATAACAGGTACAATTGTGTCCTCCACATCGCTTCCAGTGATTTCCAATATTGGTTTTTCAAAAGATTTACCTTCTAGAGACTGATCTTTCTGTTTGGTAATGATCTTGTTAGACCGGTCCAAAGCTATATGCTGGATATTGGTGCCCCTGTTCTTATCTGCACCAATGTCTTGTGCAAGAGCAGGTGTATCTGAGATGGCCCTCCGACTGCGACCAAGAGGTACAGCACCAGGACTTCCATTAGTTGAATGCAAAATGTTGTGATACTCAACACTTCTCTTTCCTAGGCCTTTGTGGGCATTTTCACGTGATCGAACCATGTAGATAGTGTGAATGTACCACTCCCTACCTGCTGCTACCTGTTAAATTAAAAACACATGAAAAGGATAAGTAAGAGAAATTCTCAGCTAATTCCTCATGTTTTTGCTCTCACACATAAAAATAACATGACAAGGGATGTATCCACTATAGCATGAACGTTTTAACCATGCTTTAATCTGAACAAGATTATTGGGAGCTGGTCACAAATAGAATATCCTGGCTTATGTCCAATATTCTCAAAAAAACACCCAAAGGATAGTCAATTCTTTTTGGTTTTGAGAATACAGTAGCTCCTTCCACTTCCTCCTATTGTTATGGCACAAAATGACTGGTCTTCTCAGGCCAGCAGGCAAGATTTTATAGAAGAATCTTCTCCAATAAGAATGAAATTCGGACACGTGTCTGTTTTTGAAATGACATAACTCACATAACTTACCTGGAATAGAGGAGTTGACAACAAACTGAATCCATCAGAACCAGGCTGCTTTACTAAAGGATAACCATCCACATGATCAGCTGCTAATTTAGCATAGAAGGGCATATTTCCAAATACTTTTGCCTGAGTATCAGGTTGAGCTTTGTCCTAGAAAATAACAATCAGACACTGGTTATTATGTTCATGATTTCAATTTTGACTTGTTGGGTCTGAGTTATACTGTGTTTTACATTTATATACATACCAGAATCTTGAATCTGTACAACAGGGAAGGAGAATCGGCTAAGCAACCATACTCTTTGTTATCTGGATTATACTTTGGGATGTATCCATCAGCCCCAGTGCACAGAAACACCTTCTCAATGTTACAAATGAAGGATTCCCCTAAATTCTGAACAGGATCCACCATGACCCGACCATAAATTTCCGAGTCTAAAAATAAAGAGTATTTTCATTTATATCATTTATGGCCCACACCCTCAAGCACTATAATGTTCACAGCATTTTACATGATAAAAACAATATACAAATAATGACCAGAATCCCACTGGTGTTCATGTGAAGTCTGCCTAGCTTACCACAGGCAATTGACAAGGTATCAATCAGGATGTGTCTTAATGGTATGCCACTCACACACCTGTGCAACTGAGATGCACCCCAGCACTTAGTGAATTAACTGCAAATAGGCTCAGCAAGTTATGCAAATCTTACATTAATTCATTAATTCATTAATCGACCAGAATCCCACTGGTGTTCATGTGAAGTCTGCCTAGCTTACCACAGGCAATTGACAAGGTATCAATCAGGATGTGTCTTAATGGTATGCCACTCACACACCTGTGCAACTGAGATGCACCCCAGCACTTAGTGAATTAACTGCAAATAGGCTCAGCAAGTTATGCAAATCTTACATTCATTCATTTATTCATTAATCAACCAATTAACATAGCAAAAACATACAAAATCCTTGACAACTGTGTGAAAACTGCAGAACTGCTTAGAATCTTTAAAAACTGCAACTGCCTTAAAGACTCTCAAAAGCCTGGGGGGAAAATGAACAGTTTTGCCTATTGGCCCAATGATAACAGCCTGGGCCTTACCCCCTAAGCCTCTCAGAGAGGCAATCCAGAGGCAAAGAGCCATCACAGCAAAAGCTCTCTCTCAGGTCACTAGCCAGCACGCTTCAGAGAGCAGAGCACTCTGCAAAAGGACACAAATGAAGATCTCACTGATTACAATGGGAGAAGATGGGTGGACGCTCAGCTGTATAGTTTTAAAGACTGAAACCACCAGTTAAAAATGAGATTAGAAATATTCCATCAGTCAATAAAATTGTTTCATTAATGTTGTGATATGTTATTTTCATTTTGCTCCCACTGACAGTCTAGTCACAGTATTGGAGATAAGAATGAGATTAGAAATATTCCATCAGCCAATAAAATTGTTTCATTAATGTTGTGATATGATATTTTCATTTTGCTCCCACTGACAGCACTGAAACTGCAGGTTTCAAAGTCTTCAAAGGCAGCTCCCATAGTTGAATGCATTGCAGTAACACAGTCCAGAAATAACTGGGCATGGATGACTAAGGCCATTATGTTTCTTTCCAGAAAGGAGTCATAAATGTATAACTTCAGGTAATAAAAATGGTACTTCAGGCATTGGTGTTTCCTGAGCCTCAAGTTTAAAAGATACATCTACCAGCAGCCCAACAGCACAAATGATCCCTTGAGGAATGATCCCTCTCCTTCCTGCAGAGGAAATGTTGTAGTAATCCTGTCGTTCAACAGGGAGTGGTGGGGCCACAACAATGGGATTATCAAGAGGTCATCACTCAGAACAGTTTTCCTGCTCAGAAAACATCATGTTCTGCCCAAAGGGTGCTCTGCTGCATATGTCAGTTTGGCTATTACTGGGACAACCCTACGTTTGTTGTAGAAGCCATGAGGGCCTAAGCCAACCCTGATGAGACTGGTCCAGCACATATGTGAAATCCCTCAGAACTATCTTGGAGTCCTCAGCCCTAAGCCCAAGAAATCTCATTTAACTCAAGGAAAGAGACTTCTGGGCAGCAAAGTTGCTTGTGCCATACCAGGTAACCTCTAAACAGGTGTGTGATTGGGCAGAAAGCTTGAGGAGGGAGACAGAATCCCTTTACAACTTCTGGGCAGCAAAGTTGCTTGTGCCATATCAGATAACCTCAAAACCGGTGTGTGATTGGGCATCAAGCTTGGGGAGGGAGACAGAATCCCTTTACAAGTAATGTCACATTTCTGACTGCTGGTTAAGTAATGCAGTAATGAAGTGAGATATTTTTTTTTAATACAAACTCTTGGTATTGCTAAGGACTTTCCCCAGAGCTTGGAAAAGGTACTTTTATGGACTATAACTCACAGAATATTTTAGCCAGCATGATCTTTTTGGCTGATTTATTCTGGAAGCTGCAGCCCAAGGAGAAACCTTCCCAAGCCCTGACTCTCCCACCCCATGTCAAGTAGAAAAAAAATCTTGAAAAATAAAGGAATTATTGTTTGCCAATACCTATTATTTACACAGAAACCTGTCCATGGGAATTTGAAATCATGGCAGCAGAATCAGTTCCCCTCCTGTCAATGCTTCTTCTTCTTTAATATTCTCTTTTTTTAAAACGGGACACAACCACATGAGACTAATGCTTAATTCTCAGTTCTGTTCTTCCTCACTAGGGGGCAACCGATATCCAATAACACAAGCCCAAATGGTTTATTAGTCTGAAGTTTCTTAACTGAGGGATCTTTCTGGACCCTTTCATCCAAAGTATTTTAAAACTCAACAATCAGTACAAGTATAAAAATAAACAGAAAATAGTGCTTTGCACTAATGGGGCAGTATATAAAACAAACATTTCTATTTCTATAGCTCTATGATTTTTTTAACGCTTAACCAAATCTTACAGTAGCTTTTTATTATGACATTTTATTCCTGTAACTATCTGCCTATCTGAAGCAATAATATTAAACCATGACAAACCAGATCTTTGAAAATGGTCGGTTTATAACTCTTGAGCTACCTTGTTCTGGACCCTAAGGTTGGATATTGGCATAAAACTAGGGCACTAACTTGGTAACTGTCATTGCTGCATGTTAGAACACATCCCCAACTTTTTGCAGTCCACTTGTGCTAGACCTGTCACAGTAGGGTGGGAATTATGGGGCCCACAGGCCAAGGTGTGATGTCCAGAATCTTAGGAAATTCAATCCACAAATGGTAACTTGCTGCCCTGGAAGTCTCCAGGAGGGACTCTCCTATTTAATGAGGTGAGTGTGGGTGGACAATGAATGGGGAGGAGAATCAAGCCCAAATTAGAGTATTGTTTCACCAGAAGTCTCCAGTGAGCTCAACTCTCCTAATTCAAAGCTACAATACACCACATTTTACTAATTACCTTTTGGTAATTTCCAGTTTGGTAGAAAGGGGTGGGTGCAGCCTGTGGGGATATGGAATTATGGACATGACATTGGGTACGGGCAGTCTTTGGTCTCTCTGCATTTGTCCACTACAGGGTCTACTCTACCTGATCTCATTTTATGTTACTTCTCACTTCAGTCAGTTCAATCTAAATTTAGACTTAGAAAGGGGAAACATATTTGTGTGCTAGCCGTGCATGCAAAATGGCACTGTGGATTGAGTGAATGACTGAACAAGAGTCCAAAAGTAAGGCACTATTATCTAGAATTCCTCCATGTAGATATGTCAGGCATGCACTAGAAAGCTAAAGGAAGTGGTTCCTGACACCTGCTTTGTATTCAACTAACGTATGCACAAATTCAGGAGTTGAGCAGAAGAAGGGTTTAGGTTTTTATTTTGAAATTACTTTGGGAACAACCCAAGACCTTCAATTGTAGAGGCAAAAGTTCAGACCATTCCCAACTTTCAATATTCTTCAATAAGATAATCAGGCAACATTGGAAGTAGCTTGATTCCACTTCCGTAATACATAGGGAATAAAGCTAAATTTACCTTCTGTGAATGCAACATCAGTTCCTTCTCCAAACCCCACGGACCCATCAGATAGCCAAAGGTCCTTCTTAGACAGCAGGAACATTTTGGTATTGAGATTAAATTCAGCTGCTACTGGATCACTGACCTGCATGAAAGAAAACAGTTGTTGTTGGGATTCATTTCACATCCTGCTTTATGACATCCAAAGTTTCCTAAATTTCAGCTCTTTCATATGTTCACGTCATACGTCACCTTGGCCTCTCAAATGAAGCTAAAGCAAAAAGTGCAACACATGTTTACAGGCAGAAATAAAATGCTTCACGATCTGAGAGTTTCACCTCCTGTTGATTCTACCAGCAATATCCAGCAAAATCACATCTTTAAATGGCAGCATAATCTGTAAAGGTACGCTGAATCCATGAGTTGATTTAGTAGAAATATACTTGCCAGAAGGAATTTTGCTCACAAACAAGTGCCTGATTTATGCATGCACGTGCGCACGCGCACACACACACACATTCATACACACACACACACATGTGTGTGCAGACACACTCTTTATGAAACGGTCTCGTTCCCAGAGGAAGTAGAAACTAAATTGCTAACATGCGCTGGATTATGGAGAAAGCCAGAGAATTCCAGAAAAATATCTACTTCTGCTTCGTTGACTACGCAAAAGCCTTTGACTATGCACACACGTGTGCAGACACACTCTTTATGAAACGGTCTCATTCCCAGTCAGAAGGCTGACCAAAGCTGACTGTCAGTTATGTCCAGCAGAAGCTTTCCAGGGTGTCTAGAAGGAACTTTCCGTAAGAAAGCAAGAAAAGCCCTAGGAAGGAAGAACAGCTCTATGGCTGCAAACTGCAAGCCTGTCCAGTTTACTATCCTGTTTCCTACTGATGCCTCATGCCCACCAGCAGAACACAAGTGCAACACACTAGAAATGGATGTAAATGCCTCCAGTAGTTGAGGTAATATACAGTCATCATCAACAGCAGTCATTATTTTTTACCACTTGATTGTCTGGTCCTTTAAACTGGAGATGTCAAGAACAGAACATTGGGGGGGGGTTGCTTTCTCTACAAATGGCAAAGGTGTGCCTTTCTTTACCTTCTTTACACTTGACACAGCTCTTATCTCAAAGCTGATCCCTCCCAGTTTATGACACTTTGAGATGAATGGCTCTACTTTGAGATGAATGGGTCTACAAAGTGATTGTGCCACTTTCCACGCTCATTCTCCCAGACAGGGGATTGGTGATCAGCAGTGGCACAGTTTAATCTGTTTACTGCAATCTCCTTACTTTAATTAACACCCTTCCTGGCACTTGTATTTCTCCCACCTGCAGGGTGGACTGGGATCTGAAGCTGCTGTCAAAATGGGAGACATGTGTCAGGTCTTTCCCTCACTCTCTGCTACAGTTTAGGCACACATACCTGAGCCTTCCCATACCCTTGATAACAAAAGGTAAGGGGAAGAGGCAGAGAAATACAACACAACGATATATGCAGAAAAGTGTGCCACATGTGACAGCAAAGAATTTGCCTGAGGGTCATAACTTCCAGTGGCAGCTTTAAGTCAAGAGTAGTTGGTGGGACTCAGTGGCCTTATAGGCCCATTCTAACTCCATTATTAGAACTATGGATGGAGGCCTGTAACACTGTACAGGAGGCAGCACCAAAACCATCCCAAAGAAAAGGAAATGCAAGAAAGCAAAGTGGCTATCCAACGAGGCCTTACAAATAGCAGAGAAGAGAAGGGAAACAAAATGCAAGGAAGATAGGGAAAGTTACAGAAAATTGAATGTTGACTTCCAAAGATAGCAAGGAGAGACAAGAGGGCTTTCTTAAATGAACAGTGCAAAGAAATAGAGGAAAATAATAGAAAGGGAAAAACCAGAGATCTATTCAAGAAAATTGGAGATATTAAAGGAACCTTTTGTGCAAAGATGGACATGATAAAGGACAAAAATGGTAGGGACCTCACAGAAGCTGAAGGCATAAAGAAGAGATTACAAGAATACAGAGGGATTATACCAGAAAGATCTGGATGTCCCAGACAACCCAGATAGTGTGGTTGCTGACCTTGAGCCAGACATCCTGGAGAGTGAAGTCAAGCTGGCCTTAGAAAGTATGGCTAACAACAAGGCCAGTGGAGGTGATGGCATTCCAGTTGAACTATTTAAAATCTTAAAAGATGACGCTGTTAAGGTGCTACCCTCAATATGCCAGCAAGCTTGGAAAACTCAGCAGTGGCAAAAGGATTGGAAAAGATCACTCTACATCCCAATCCCAAAAAAGGGCTGTGCCAAAGAATGCTCCAACTACCATACAATTGGACTCATTTCACACACTAGCAGTTATGCTCAAAATCCTCCAAGGTAGGCTTCAGCAGTATGTGGACCGAGAACTCCCAGAAGTACAAGCTGGATTCTGAAGGGGCAGAGGAAGTAGAGACCAAATTGCTAACATGCGCTGGATGATGGAGAAAGCCAGAGAGTTCCAGAAAAACATCTACTTCTGCTTCATTGACTATGCAAAAGCCTTTGACTATGTGGTCCACAACAAACTATGGCAAGTTCTTAAATAAATGTGTCTGAACACCTTATCTATCTCCTGAGAAATCTATATGTGGGACAGGAAGCAACAGTTAGAACTGGATATGGAACAACTGATAGGGTCAAAATTGGGAAAGGAGTACGACAAGGCTGTATATTGTCCCCCGGCTTATTTAACTTATATGCAGAATACATAATGCAAAAGGCTGGACTGGAGGAATCCCAAACCGGAATTAAGATTGCCGGAAGAAATATCAACAACCTTAGATGTGCAGATGATACCAGTCTGATGGCAGAAAGTGAGGAGGAATTAAAGAACCTCATAATAAGGGTGAAAGAGGAGAGTGCAAAAAACAGTCTGAAGCTCAACATCAAAAAACCGAAGATCATGGCCACTGGTCCCATCAACTCCTGGCAAATAGAAGGGGAAGATATGGAGGCAGTGACAGATTTTACTTTCTTGGGCTCCATAATCACTGCAGATGGTGACAGCAGCCACAAAATTAAAAGATACCTGCTTCTTGGGAGGAAAGTGATG